TGTATAAGAGACAGCCCCCCCCCAGCCCCCACCCCGTTTTTCTGCTTACGCTACAGTCATGTGAAGCTCAAGTTCAAAACAGGAAAAGCCTAGCCAAAAAACAAGCTTAGTAAAGCCTTCTGGCTTTGAAGAGGGCTTTCCACATCCCCTATCTGAGTAGCAACACCTGTAAAAAGATTATCTTTGATGAGGGGCAGACCAAAGTCAAACTGAAACAATTATTTTTACCAGAGTCCCAGAAATATTTCACAGTGGCTTTCCAAAAAGCCTGTGTGAAGAAGGGAAGGGCTGGAAAGCGAGTGTGCTTACCCTTCTGTGCTATACGTTGTCAAGCTGACAGCTAAATCAGCTCGTATCTAGCATGGGGAAATGTTATCACATTTCCCTTGTTGATTTTGAGTGCTGGAAGGACAACCCGTAATGACAGCGAGCTTGAAGATCTGGATTAAAGTCTCTAATAAGAGCTTACCCCCTTCGGCTGACGTGCTACAGAAACGGCACACACTTTGAGAACGTGAACCATGAAGTCTGTCAACAGTTTTACACTTAAAGACATTGCTGATCTGGTGCACAGATCTCCAGGAACCAGCCACTGTGGCATGGAAACAGCCTCCAGAACCAAACTAAACCAGTTTTAAGTTAAGTTTCCAGTAGACACTTTAGATATCATGGTATTTAAGCACTGAAGCCCCAACGTAAGCTCGACAGCAGTCATTCCAGCTACACACAGGGAGCCCTAAAACCCCACGGACCTGCGAAGTACCCACCTGTGTCTAACTCAAGAATTCAACCCCACAGGAAAAGGCTGGATGGCGAATTCCAAGCTTTAAAACTGAACAGAAACAGCAGCAGTGGCAGGTAATTTAAGCTGCGGTTAAGGCTAACAAAAATAACGTTTTATTGCATTTGTTAACAGGAGGAATGTTCCCAACAAAACCATTTATAATTATTCTGTGATTTAAAGCTTTAACCTCCTGTGACTGCAACCTAAATGTCACTTTTCTGGGCTAGCAGGAGAACCGAAAAGTGAGTCACTATAAATGAACCAAACGACTTGCTAAGGACTGGAGCGAGCAACCAAAGCAAGAAAGTAGAGACACACCACCAAGAAAGATCTGGGAGGTATAGAAGGTCAGCAACTCGCCGAAGAGATATTTAAAAATACATTCAAAGTGTTTTCAAGTGAAACAGAAGCGAACGGAGTCACTCGGCACCACAATTCTTCCTGGACGCACAGCAAAGCAAACCGCAGCCGTCGAGAGCAAACGCCTCTGGTAGGGCTGCAGTTCCCTGTGGTTTGCAGTTATTTCACAAGGACGTGGGGGCTGCCAGGTACTCGCGGGGTAACGATGAGTAAAGGACATTCAACAGCCCTCGCCAGCTCCAGAGGGGCTGGAACAAGGGAGGTTTCTTCACTCGCATGCTTCAGATGCTTCCTGGCGTTTTGTGCAAATCCCTTTCCCAGACTTTCAAGGCACTGTGCCCAGGAATTGATTACTGCGTGTGTACAATAGCCTAGTAGCAACTCGAGACAATTAAGGCTTGCTAGGCTTAAATAATCTCCTCTCCATATTCTTCTGCCTTATCTGTTTGAAGCCCAAAGCCAAGCGTGTGGGCCAGTGCCCCCATTTCATTCCCCCCCCCTCACTTGCAAAGGAAAAAGCTCAGCGGGTCACAGTGGGGGAACTGCAAGAGGAATTGCTACCTGCAACCCCACACAAAGGCAAGAGGGGCTGCGGCCAAACCCGCAACAAGCCATCCCGTAACCCCTCGTACCAGTGACAAAACCTGGCATTTAGGAGAAAGTTATAAACCTTGAGCCTGCCAGCTCTTCCCAGAGCAGGCTCAGAAGAAACAGCACAGCAAAACTGCTGCACCCCGGGCCCCCAAAAAACCTGCTGCACCCTGGGCCCCGCATTTGGCCCACGAACCGACCCTCCCTCACACCTCACGACAGTGACTGGATCTCTTTAGTATTATTCTGGATAAAACACTGCATTCAATCCTGGCGAGATAACCGAACACACAATTCTGTAATTAGACAGCCATCATGTGTCCCATTGTAATTGGATGTGAAAAACTAGCCTGGCAAAGGTGTACGCCATAATCACGCCATCTTTACTGATAAATTTACTCTTTCCATAGATTCTATTTTTGGTCGTAATAATTGTTTCACTCTATAATTTAATAAAACAAGTCTACTCATTGTATCCCAGCAGTTCTGGCTGCACGGACCAGCATGGACTCACACGGGCACAGACCGCTCTTGCGTAAGGGCTAGGAGATGTAACTCAAAGCTTAAAGCACGCTGAGGGAAGTATCTTTCCCAGGAGAATCCTTCAGGAGTACGCTGTCCCACCAGCATCTCCAAACAGAGGTGTTCAGCCCCGTTTCCGTGCTGCCCCTTCACTCCATTTGAACCCGTGGCCCGTTGGTCTCGCTGTGGCAGCGGGTTTTGTGGCACAGACTGAAAGCAAAGGCTTTGCAGAGTCCTCCTTCCACGAGACATGGCCCGTCACAGCTTTCACACGGTTGCTTCCCTCCCCTCTCCCCCCAGAACTCTTTTCTTTTCGAAAAAACAACCCAACCGAACCACGCTTCGTGGCCTCATTATGCTTACTGGGAATGAACGTTCTTAAATGAGAATCTCCCTAAGCCAGAGGCCCAGAAATAATTTGTTGAAGACATCCAGCTGAGCTGATGAACAGAGGCTTTTGGGGTTTTTAAAGGTTTTGTCTGAGCCATAAACTGCTCCTTTTACCTTGACAACCAAATACTCACAGCAATGGAGAAAGCTTGCAAGGGTTATTTGGGCTGCTAACACGCAACACAGTTTGCCTTAACACCTCCTTGGCCCCCAGTTTTGCATCTTGTTTCCTGATTGCCTGCATCAGGATGCAATTATACAATTACCTCCTATTTCATTCAGTTAAAAGGTCACGATTATCAGCTGCTCTGGGCAGGCACTGGGTAACGTCCCCACCCAGCGCATGGATGCACAAGTTTGTGCGGTGACTCACAAAAGGCTGATGCTGCTGGTGTTCTCCACCTTCCCAGTGGTGAAACCACAGGGAAACCTGGATGCCTTTCCATCCCCTGAGCCTCTGGGATCAACCCATCAAAATACCAAACCCAAAACATTCACAGATCACTCATCTCTGCACTTCAGAGGCCAGCTGCTACAGCTCTGCAGTTTATAGAAGCCTTTATAAAAAAAAAAAATTATAATGCAAAGACACCCATTTGGCACCGTTAACTCGCAGAGATCCTCCACGCCAGCAGCAAACCTGTTGTTTCACTATAGAAACCACCCAGGTGGGATTCTCTTAAAACACACGGGCTGCACTTTGCAGTAGGTGGGAAGAAGAGGCACACATCAATAGGAACAAGGGAATCAAGCCTTCTAGATTCTGCTTTATCAGTGACATTTGGATCAGCCCCCGCATGTACTAATCAAAGCCCACCCTGATTCGTGAAAGATCAATGCTAGCTCTGTGGGGTAACGGAGCGCTCGGTGGTTTTCCCCTCTGCAGACGTGAGGGGAAAGGGGAAGGAGGAGGGTCCAGAGCAGCATGAAATAAAAACTTTGTGCTCAGACCTTATAAAGACCGACTGCCCCAAGGCTTTCGTGCGTGAAAACACCAGGCTGCCTCGCACGGGCCCTGGGTTGGAGTGGTAGGCCACCACAGAGGTTCACCCATGATTTTTCAGACATTCCTCCTCAAAAAAACCAACCAACCACACCTCTTCCCACTACTCTGTTCTCCAAAGTGGTTTCATCATCCATCCCCCTGGAATTCTTCCATATCCTCACAGCATGGAGAGACAAGGGCACCGATCCCCAACTCGGGCACTCGCTTCTGCAGCTCTGGGAGTTAAATCCCCACGTCAGATCAACTGCAGGGTAAGAGCCAAGAGGGAGAGAAGCACTCCACCACCCAGGATCTGTAAAACTCCTGCACAGACACAGGGTATGCCAACTCTTGTTTGAAGGTTTCTCGGTTAATACCAGAGGAAAAAAAAAAAAAAATCCAGATCTTCTCTCAGAAAGAGTTGCTGCGCTATAATCTCTTTTCCAGGTAAATATATTTGAACTGCAAACCCAGTTTGTGCGAGCCAAGCCCCTTCACCGAGCAGTCGGACTCCTGTTCTTCCCCTTCCTCCCCAGGGGTTACGAGGCTCCTCCTGCCAGCGCCACCAGAAATCCCAACAGACACAACCCCACCTTTCCAGCATCCGTCACTGCTACCCCAGAAACTGCTCATCGTCACACCTTGGCTCGCCGTCAGTATTTAGGAACACACAAAGCGCAAGGCTGGAAGCAAGCCAGGAAGCTGCTAAAGCACACAAGCTGTCGGCAGTACCCTCCTAAATCCTCTGCAAAATCCTTCAAAGAAGCGCTGGCATTAACTGCCTTCATCACTGTCCGTAAGAGTTCCTCCTCAAAAACTTAACTGGGAAAGATGCCTCTGCGGCCCCGACAGCTCAGCCATTCCCGCACTGATACGCAACCTCCCTCTCTGAAGAGAAACCACTTTGTTATTCACTTTTACCCGCCTCTCATGCCCCTGTTTCCCTAAATACCCCCCATTACGTTGCCTCCAACTGGAGCAAGCACTTTTCTTTTTTCTACTCAGCTTTGTTTCTGCGAAACCAGACGGCTGCAATCTCTTGAGGTTTAGCAGCATTTGCTCCCAGCTCTCCCCTCCTTGTCGCTCACAGGTCTTCAGCGAGCCAGCAGGAGCCACGGGGACCCAGCCATTACTCTGCCCTTTAAGACCAACCATTCCCCCATCCTTGGGTCGGTGACACCCCACGGAGCTGCCAAACCCTCACAGGACGCCTGATGTCTGTGAGGTGACAGCGTTATGGGGACAAGGCAGGTTGTCACACGGGCACAGTGTGGCTAGAGACACAATTTAATGTCTCGGCACTAAGCTCGGGGTCACGGCAAGATGTACAACAGCCCAGGTGATTTACTGCTCCTTTGTGCTGACCCCGTCTCTGGCACTGCAAGGTGGATGCTTTCAGGGGGACGGTAGGGAAGCAGTGACTCAGTAGTGTAGCACTTTCTTTTCCCTGCTAAGCTGAATCCTGCAAGTTTTTAAACATTTGCTTCCCACTGCCTGGTAGGATCCTGTTGCCTGCAACATACAATCAACTCTCCCTCTTGTTCCCCTGACTGACAGCTACAAGTGATATTAAACTCCAGTTCAGAAGCCAGAATTTAGTCATTAACCCCGCTGCTGCTGCTTAACTCTGTCACTGAGTGAGCATCCAATTCAAAATCATGACATTTGGACATCACTTTGCTGCCAAAAATCATACTCTAAGTTATCTACAACATAACATGTTCCTCCTTGCATGCAAAATTAGAGCATAAAATCCAGCACAAGAGAGGTCTGTACTTGCTAGTTTAGTTCAACGCTTTCGGTTAGGTTAGTACTAGCACCCACAGGCTCAGCTTTGTCACCTCTATACTGAAGTAGCCTCTGTCCACGTAGTCTCCCAGGAAGAGGTAGCGGGTGTTATTGGGTGATCCTCCAACTTCAAACAACTTCATCAGGTCAAAAAACTGCCCATGAATGTCACCGCACACTAGGGGAGGAAGAACAGCACAAAAGAGGGACGGAATTACACGCTAAGAAAAGAAAGGTCATGACAGCAACAAGGAGCATAGCGTGGTTGTGCTCTGACCCAAGCCACCCCTGCTTCACATCCAGCTTCTGCAAAGGTGTACTCAATCTACACCAGCAAAACGCTCTCTTCTGAGAGTTCAGGCAGTTTAAAAAAGCCTTGCTGATGGAAGGAACACAGCAGAAAACCTGCTACTTCAGGCAGCTCGTGTTTCCTAGATGGCTCTTATTTAGGACTCCAGCCGCCGACAGCTCTCTGACCTGTGATCGGAGCCTCCACTTCGATCATTGTCTTCTCGTGCCTAAGGATGGCAGCGCCATCGTTGATGATCTTCAGCGCCGCATCCTCTTCCAGGCGTCCTTCCTTCACCAAGTGGCTCTTCAAGACGTCAAGCCTAGGCTTCCCATCCTCAAACACCTCCTTCAGAGTGAGCCGCTGCGTAGGAGGAAACGGGACAGCTGGAAATGGAAGTGAAGAAGTTAGCAACACGTCTCTTTTCAGAGGGGAGGGGGGGAAAGAATTACAGTCTTTTCAGCAAGAGGCTTGCGTTCCAAGCCTCAAGACGAGCACACGCTCAGAAACATACTTTCACTGAAATTATGCTCTCAAATACCGAAAGAAGAAAAGCTCTGCTGCCAGAGCAGCTGAATACACCCCTCAGCATGTTTAAAAAGCCACCGTGTGCAGACTAAATGCCATATGTATCCACAGAAAATGCGGGCAGCAAAGCTGTCTCCTAATTCAGTGGGGATAGTTGTCATCGTAATGTTGCACTAAAACAGGACTGCATGCAAATATCAGCAAAAGCAGGAGAAAAACACACCGGTTCCCAGGAACTAGCAATTAAGGCAAGAGGACCAATATGTAAAATTCTCACTGATCAGGAAACCGCACGGTGCAAAGCAGAAGTTGCCTTCGCCAGGCAACAGCCTCACGCCTCTCAGTACGGGCCCCTTCAAAAAGCTTAACCCCAGGCTTAGTTAATTGGTAAATCCTGATGGAATCCAACATTTAAGGCAAGTTAAGGCCTCACCTATTTGTAACACATGCCCTGGTTTTTAACTCTAGATAGAAAAACACCCCATCAAAAGCCATTATTATTATTATTATTATTATTATTTTTATTTTTATTTTCACGCTAGGCAATTGTATTATTTGTAAGAAGGTGCAGCAGAAAGGAAACCTATGAAAAAAAAAATTAATAGTTACAAGTGAGAACCATCTGACTTCCTCAGCTACCTTCTCCTGGGCCTGGCTAATTTAAAGAAGAAAAAAAGATGGAGAACACATGAGCCCTGCATAACATTTAAAGGCTTGATTCAAAAGAAATTCCAGGAAGGAGGCCTGGATGTTTGGGAAAAAAGAGGAAAACTGGAAGTAAAATCCTGTCAAACAGCCCCAAACGTGGGGCCCAGCTACCGGCAGCTCCTGTGCACCACGGAGGCATTTGCATCGTGTGGCAGCGACGCAGCACAGGGGTCGTCTCGGGTCCTGGAGTCTGTTTCCTTCTCAGAACATCTCCAATACCCAGCGTCTCCTCACCCCGCTGGGTCCAGCCCTTTCAACACCCACAGGTCAGAGCAGGACCAAAGCGATGAGGACCAAGCCCCGCCGAGGGAGCGATCCTGCACTACAGATGAGATGCTGGGATGGGTTTTGCTTTAGGGTGCTCCCCAGGGTGCATCATGCTCACAGCTCCCCAAAAAAAGCCTCTTACCCAGGGTGGGTGCCACAGGGAGCTGCTGCTCACCCTCCCGGCCGAGGGACGGGGCACACCTCTGCAAAAACTCTTGCGCTGTCCGTAAAACCTCGGGCAGCTGGACAGACCGCCTAGACTCTGCTGGGCATCCCCCAGACTACCCCAAAATTTGGAAGGCAAATGGGCCTTTTACAGCCATTTTAATGATTCTGGTGCCAGCCTGCTTCTGAGTAAGCAGTGCCTCCAACACACCCTGCGTGTAACGAAACCCACTCACTAGATAATGTACCCTCGCTTCCACATCTCCCGCTTCTGATGTGATCGTGTCATGTGGTGAAAGACAGATTTGCACTTAACTGTAATCCAGCTAGAGCAGAAAAATATCTGGTATGCAAATGAAGTTGATGTCCTTACCCATCACCCAGTAAAGGCATCCCATATGCCAAGGTATGTTGAATTTAACAGGCCAAGCGATAGTGCTGGTCAAATAATAGTGATGCAACCGATCTCTTTTAAATGCAAATAGAGCAGCTCTTCAGCTCGGAAACCCAGGGGCCAGAGCGAAAAAGCTGAGAGGCAGCACAAGAGATTCTTTGCAGCTGAACATCAATTTTCAAATCATGTGAAATGTAGGACAGAGGAGAACGGGAGCGGATCTAATGAAAGGGGAGCGGGTGTCTGCAGTAAGGTGGCCCTCTTTCATCCGTGCCTTTGGAAGTTTTGCTCTGCTGGGTACTCGCTAAGTGCCCTGCCTGCCTTGAAGGGGCCAGGGCACACGTGGCGCCTTCCCCTCGGAGCTTCCAATTAAAGAGGTTTAAGCAAGACCCCTGCTTATGCCAACATAGGCTGGACAACATTTTTTTACTGCATACGTAGCTTGTCTCTACAGCCAAAAGAAAAAAAAAAAGGGAGAAAAAAAAAAAAGACCCCTCTGGTTACCAATGAAAACCTCAACATTTTGCAGAATTGGGTGTTATTTTCTCCCTCTCCCCACACTCTCTGGATCTGTGTATTGAAGGCAGCGTTTGCGCTGCAGGAGGAGGCAGAGGGAAGCTGCAGGTCTGACATGAACAGGTTCAGCTGGAATGAGGGAGGTTAAAAGGAGTTGGGGGGAAACGTGGGCACAGGACTCGGAGCGAGGGGCAAGGGAAGCTCTGGGACTCCCTGCCATTAAGGGACTGGGACTCAGTTTGTAAGTACTTCTACAAACTGGGCAGTTGTCCTAGCATCTGCCATCTGACTCCATGGGAAGCCAGAGAGCGCCTGAAGGTCAAACGATTTATAAGGAAGAAAACTGAGAAATAGGAACAGCTCAGCACCACATTCCCTGTCATCCCAGGCCTTCACACACAGCCACCGACTCCAGAGCCACAGAAGCTGGGACCGAAAGCTTCATGGAGATGGCATGAGACCACAAGAGCGGTACTGCCCGTCACACAGCTCTGGGAGATCCATGAAAAGCTCCTTGGCATGGTCTGCTTTGCCTTTTCTTGGTAGCCCTAGCGAGAGGAGTTATGCAAGATAAAATACGAGGCTACGCCGATGCAAGCAGCCAAGAACTTTTATGTAAGTTCCCTCGCTGGCTTTGCATGGCTCCACTCCCACAAGGAGCTGGGCACGATGAGGAACCGGCTTCTCCTCTGCCAAGCTGCAGCAGCATGGAGCACAGGGAGAAAAACCTGCTCCAGAGAGACCAGCACCATCCTGGGGATGCACACACAGAGCAAAGACCTACTCCACATCGCCTGTTTTCTACTCGCTATGCTTCCTGCTAACCCACCCACCCCCAAAAAAAAAACCAAACAAAACTCAATTCCCTGAGCTGGTTGTGCAGCGTCAGGGCTGAGACACTCGTGCCACGACGCACCCTGAGCCGTTGGGTGCTGCAAAAACTTCGTGGGGGCTGCATGAAAAAAAATCCTCCATGCACCAGCAAGACATGAGAAGCACCCGCTGGAGCCTGAGTGCTGGGAAAACCAAAACCCAGTGATCCAGCGGGGATGAGGATGAGTACTTAAGTAATTAGTGTTGTCAAAGCAAGTAATCCTGTTAGCCAGCACAACTTGTGTAAGGGCTTTAGGCGACTCGGTGCAAGCGGTTATCTGATGCACAAACATCCTTCCCCCGCCCCAAGATCTGAATTTTATCCTGATTAACGCTCAGTTCTGTTGGAGTGAGCAGCACGGCAGGAGGTTGTGGAGGACGGGGGCTCCTCCTGCAGCCAGCCCGGGCTCACCAACTGTGGGAACAGACCCAGCATGGCAAAAGCTGAACTGAAATTTTGCTCCCCCAGGGCACTGAGAGGGGTGGAAGAGTCTTGTCCACTTCCTGCTCCTGTCTGCAAAATGGGGAAATAACTCCTTATCTCACAAAAAACCCCCATGCCGTGGCTAGTCACGGAGTGCCCAAGCAGCACAAAGTGCTAAGCTCGGCCTCACGTTAGTGAAAAAGATGGATAAAACATTCACAACTGTGATCTTTGTGTCATCTTCCCTTTGTATACAAAACCCACCTGTTGCACCCAGTCTAAATAATGAAATCCTTAGGTCTGGGCCTTTGCAAGGGCATCAAAACACTCTACACTGCAGATCCTGAGGAAAGGCCACAATCCCTGCTCTAACAGCGGACGCTGAACCACAACACAAGGACACAAATGCAAGTGAACCCGAGGTGTATCATGGATTAAAAGGTCAGCTGTGCTCGAGGGACTTCAGTAAAACGAAGAGGGTAGGGATATCTTTGCTAGGCTACGGCGCAAGACTCCATCTGCCGCAAAATTAACACAGATTTTATTTGCTCATCCAGGAGCAAGTGGGTACTGGCAGCACTCTGAGAGGACATGGTCAGTTAAGGATGGGAGGGTTTGATGAAAAGCTGCTTCTCTACCAGCACGTGTTGCAATTCTACATCTGTACTTAAGCTATGCCTCTCTTCAGCTTCATCACAGCTCTTCCAGCATGGATTGGGTCAGACCACGTAGTCCCTCACTCCTCTCCGTAAGAGCAGCTGAAACCAAGCAAAGATCCTCTCCCTCCAGGACTGGAGGCAGCAGCAGCAGACAGAGCAGGGCTGAGCCATCCACCCCTCCAGAAAGAGCCAGTGCCATGGAAGAGAAAACAAAGTGATGCTCAAATTATTGTTTATATAGTCGAGAGTCCCTTGGATGACTGTACAAAGCAACAAAGCCAGATTCATGACTGAAAAAGGAGCAAGTGCTACTTGCCTGAAGGGGCAGCTGCAGCAAAACTCAGTTTGTTCCCTGAGTGGTTGGGTCTCGAAGGAGAAGGAGGTGTCCTCTCACAATGGGGCACGCGGGGCTACAAGCCCCCCAAATCACCCAGGATTAACCACGCTCAGTAACAAACTTGAGAGAGATTTCTCTGCAACTCTTGACACCACCTGGGAGTGAATCTGAAGGGCACTGAATGCAACAGCCCCTTTCCCTGCTTGCTCCTCATCAAATGGTATTACAGATCGATAGTTGAACAGAGGAAAAAAAAAAAAAAAAAAAGTACATTTTGGGCATTCTGAAGCAGCCAGCACAGCTCAGACAAAACTAAGCACAAGTAAAAGCTGTCTTTTCTTATGCTCAGACACACACAGGGAAGGTACTAACAGCTTCCCATCACCGCACCCTCTCCACCTGCGCTGGAAGGCATCTGAAATATGTGACTGACGTTCAGCTACGGGTTTGACGACCGGGGATGACAGACGTCCATCTGCCACCACCCAGATCTGGTCTCCGAGGAAGCCGGACCCGGCTGTCAAAGGTAGAAACGTTCACAAGGAAAAGTCTGCACGGGAGCCACCCGCACCCGCTTTGAAAGGCGGAGAGAAAGCTGCCTCCTGTGTGGAGCTGTGCAGAGCACGAGCAGCGGGTCAGTTTTGGCGTTTTTTTCTTCCCCAATTTCCAAATAGCCCAATGATATTTTTATCAGACGTTTCTATTCCCATTCACACCTAACCTACATTCATCTATTCAAAGCTGAGTCCAGGGCTCTGAACAGAGAGAAGTTCAGCAACGAAAGGCAACAGCAATGCCATTTTGTGCTTGCAGAAAGCTGAAGTCTCAGGATCGTGCAGAGCTTTCACAGTCATTAACGGGGAACAAAACCTTGAAGGCAAGTGATGGATGCCACCGTTACCTACAGCAACGCTCTAGCCAACCTGCTTCAGTGCTTCTCTAGCAGGGGGTCCAGCCCAAAAGCAAGGCTGGGTTGAACCTCAGCAGCACACAGGGAGCCTGTCAAATTCCAACTTGCCATTAGTCCTAATATTTATTAACAACTACCCAATTTTCCATGGAATAATCTTTATTTTCTTGAAATCATGAACCGTTCAAATTTCTGGTCATCAGATGCATAGATATCTTTGCTTTAAGAATCCCTGTGCTGGTTTGCATGCTGCTTTCCCTCCCCTGGGCTGCCTCAGGGCAAGCTTACATGAAAGCCTGCAAAACCAGATGTATGCTCGATACCAATTTTTCAAAGCCTGGACCAAGCCCTGACAAATAATCTGTGTCATTTTTCAGTCTGAAGCAGTGCTGGCACAGGCGCCCTGACCCTGCGATGTCAGGGAACTACTGCTCTCTCCAGCTACAGGAGCTATGTGGAGGCAAAGCAAGCACAAAGTGGAGCAATACACAGCCTCCTACCACCTGAGAAAATAAGTAACTTCTCCCCTTGCCACCGGATTGTGCTGACATAAATAACAGTAATATCTCAGAAGAGTCACCAAGTAAAGCAAACACCTTCCTTGCATAAATGCAGCGAGAGCCAGAAACATTACTATTGCCATTTCTGTCTGCCCTCCTCCAAACTTTTGCAACTTTTCTAATCTTCTGAGGGCAGCAATTTTCTTTTCTCGCTATGAGTAAGAAACCCTGTATTTCAGAAGCTCCAAAGCCTCACAAACGGTGAAAAAAAAAAGAAGAGAAAAAAAAAAAAGAGTTTTGTTTCTCACCCCTGAGCATCAACCAAAACCATCACACGCACTGTTAGCAGGGACGGGGCTGATCTGGCATCAAGACTTGGGGCATCTTTCTCATCCATTTTGCAAGTCCTACTGAGTGGCAGCTCCTTCACATACAGAGGGCCATTAAATGCAGTTCACAACGCCCCAGTTTTATCCAAAACTAGGGAGAGGTGTGCTGCTGGAGCCAAAGCTGGCCACCCAGCGTGCCACTGGTACAGAGAACTCGCTCTGATCTTTACCTCGAGCCAGATTCCCTTTTGTAGGGCAACCAGAATATCTCCTCAGAATATCTCCTCACAATAACCCTAAAAATATCTGCATTGTACATTGAATTCTATCAAGCTGAATGATTTCTTCGAAGGGGAAGAGACACAGTCATCACGACACTAGAGTTGAGCGAAACCAAGACTAATCAACTGAACTGTTCCCATCAGCAAATCTGTCTTTAACTTATCAACTACCTCGCAGTCATCCAAGGAGTAACACCTGAATTTTGAGGCCACATTGACTTTCGGTTACTAGATTCTGGCACACGCAGCCTGTGCAGAAGCCAGGTGCATTTCATTCCAAAAAAAGCAAGCGACAGTCCTGTGCATCAAAATGCAAATACAAACACAATGTGTGTCAACCGAGCATAACCCAGGCCACGCTTAAAGCTCCCACAGACTGGCAGAAATACTAAATGCAAAGCCAAGAGGCTAGAAAACCATGAAAGCTACCTAAATCCAAGTCCACCTGTGCATTTCTGAAACCTTATAGTTACCTGAACTGTGCTCATGGACTCCTAAAAACTGTAATCAGGAAGGAGGTGATTATCCTTAAACTGTTCTGCTGGCAAAACATCTAGCACAGACAGTAAGTAGTGTTATCAGGTTAGGAAAAGAAAGAAAAGGTGCCTCTGCCAAAGTAAACTGCGGCTACTCAAGGAGGATTCACCAGCAGAGCTGTGTGCCAAGGTCTGCCACGGGAGGCAAGCCCAGAGGCAGCCACGATGGCCCCTGGCTGGGCTGCTGACCCATGAGGTGGAGCTGGCACTCTGCTCCCTCGCCACGCTCCTTCAAGGAGCTAGGCAAGATTAAAACCGGAGTATTTAATTAGAACAGAAGCGACTTAAGACTGTCAGCACACATCAGCCGCCCAGCTCTCAGCCAGCAGAGCCACCCGCAAAGCTTTCTCCCCCGTCGATTGGCTCTTCACGCCGAGGTTCCTGCTCTGCCACCAAAAATGAAGCCGAACCTTGACCAGGTCTGTGCTCTTGCCAAAGTGCTCTGCGTCTCAGAGACGGTCTCGAAAATACCCTCGGTGGACAGTGAATTTCCTCAGCCTCCTCAGGAGCGATGCAGACGTTCAAATCGTACTTGCTTGCAAGGTCCGTCAAGCTGCCAGCGCCCGCGTTGCTGTGCGTAGGTCCCTCTCTTAATGACCAGCACTGATGCGGATTTGCCTGGGATTGTCATTGAGACAACCTGTCTGGAGCCAAGTCCTCTGCCAGGGACACAGGCTCCTTACATCACCGAGTGCCAACTCACCAGCTACTGTCAAGGAGAGCACAGAAGCCCTTAGTACCAGCCGGAAAAAAATTCCTCTTTCGAGACCCTCAAGCTCTACAGACTTCCCAGCAGTTAAAAATATATGTATTGCTAGGAAATAACCACTCAACAGCACGTAGACCCACAGCAAACCCGGCATCTTCCTCTCCACAGGTCCATCAGTGGGATGGTCTCTCAGCCGGCTCCAGGGGGTCCCTGCTAAGCTTGAGGGGAAAAGGAAAAAGGCAAAGAAAAAGGCCGAGGTCTACAGCAAACAGCTGCAGCTACTTAAAAAAAAGTGAGCTCACCAAAGGAGACGGGAGGGGATTCCTAGATGTCAGCAGGCAGGGAAATTCAGCACCTGTTTCACAAGGTTAGCAAGCTGCCAGCACGTCCACTAATAGATCATTAATACAGGAACAGCGGGGTCTTTGTGTCAAAGGCAAATCCCCCACCTGCTGGCAAATGTAAATCTGACCCCACCGCTGGCAGCGGCAGGGCCGGGGGCGGGGGGGCTGGCAACGATTTTAAAGTGACTCTGAGCAGACACAATTCTACACGTTGAGTATTTTCTTGCTCAGGATGACGCTGCAGGCAGGAATCGCTGCTCTACATGGGAAACCTTAAGAAAAGAACCCGCAGAAACGCTCCCGCTGGAGCCCGAGCGCTGTGGTGGGAGCGGGCAGAGCCCGGCCTGGAGGCCCGGGGAGAAGCAACTGTTCCTTTGCATCCAGCCAAAGGTGGTCACATCCTCAATAAAGGAGGATTTGAGCTCTCGCAGTCACCACTGCAGCAAAGAGAGACCCATTCGCACACAACAGGGGTCTTGGTTTCCCTTCTCTACCTGTGAGCTGCATTCGTGCTGGATGAAAATAGCACCGGTTAGAGCATCTCTTGCAACGTGCTCACTCCAATGTTCCACATTTATACCCACATATCACCTTAAAACCACACAGAGGTGCAGACAGTCTGAAGGGAGCTGCAAACTCATTAAAATCTTCCTGGTGGCCACACTGGAGATAAGCCAGAGCAGTTTTCTTGCAAACCAAAGAGGAAGTAACCCAATATGTGGGCTAAATACGTTCTAGCAATGTTTTCGGAGCAGCTTCAGAGACCTGCAGTGTCAGGGATCGAGCTGGATGACAGGAGCCCCCAGTTATTGCTAAACCAGCAAAACCAGCTCTGTGCTGCTGGTCAGGGTCTTCCTCTGGGAAACCTCTGCAATACGCATCCAAGGCATCACCATTGGGATAATTCTCCCACTGCTGTTTGAGAAGCCATTTTACCACGTTCGCTACACCTCAGCAACTGAGAAAAGGGAATATTTTCCAGATCAGGCTAGGGAAGTGAAGACTTTTATTGGGATGGCTGTTGACACCACTTCTCCCCGCTTACCTGTAACACACCCTGAACCACTTGTCTGACACAGGGGAGATCCTTGCGTGCTCTCACCAGATCCAGCTCCCAGCAGGGAAAGTGCTTTAAACCCACGTTTGACAGCCACCACCACTGCAGAGGTAATCACTGAAGCAGGGGAAGCACTCAGAAACCAGGTGATTGATGCAGGCTTCTGGAGAGAGAAACCCCCTGAGCCTTCTCACGGTGGCAGACCCAGGCTCCCAGCTGGAGAGGTCACGTTACTCAACACGCTCACATCCACCTCTGCTCCTCACGGAAACACAGCAAGTTCCTATTAAGGTTTCATAGCTGGAGATGCTGCAGCTGGAGACAGCAGCGAGGTTTTGCTTCGGAGGCTGGAGATCTGAAGTCAGAGTGCAACCCGGATAGCCTGACGCTCCTCCTCCCCACCAGCAAAAAAAAAAATAATCTTTAAAAGCTGCACTGAGGTTTCTTCATGAGCCACCCTCTGCACCCAGGAGCACCCACCCTTCATACTCCATCTCACCTCTGGTCTGTGTCATCCTAACCAGAGGTGCTCCCCATCCCTCCCCCTGCCCCACACCAAGCTCCCTGCCCTAAAGGGTTTTCCCGGTACCCTTGACCCGGCTCTCAAGTGTCGTCAGGTCAACATATGCCTCTTCGGCACCGCGGGCCTGGCGGACCAGCCTCCAAGAGCCATCCAGAGCCAAGCCTTGCATTATAGGATAACGCTGATGCCTTTACGTAGCCTGTTTCCTCGCTCCTCGTGCTTAATGATGTCTAATTCCATT